GTCCTTGCACTTCTCGGTTGGGAACGGGACCGCCGGTTTCTCAGCTGAGAGGCTTCGAGTAGCAGGGAGATGGGTGAAGTCTTGTTTTTGCACCTGTCCAATAAGCAGCGCTAGTTTAAGCTCAAATAGTTTGATGTGGGAATACATGTCAGATTAGTTTTCCCTTGCCTTGGAGCTGCAAGTTGAGGCCGTTTAAAATTTCTGACACATCTGTTAATAAAGGCGAGGTCCCATTTCCATTCTGTGTCGATCAGCTCTGGGACAGTTTTTCCCTTTGTCAGGAGAAAGGCATTGATTTCGGGTAGCAGGTCGTAAAAACGCTTCAAAACTCTGCCCCGGCTTAACCAGCGGACTTCAGTGTGGTAAAGCACGTCTCCGTGGGCTGATTCTAGCTCGGAGAGAAAGGCTTGGAACTGCCTGTGTTTAAGTCCGTTTGCTCTGATGAAGTTTATGCAGGACACAACCACCTTCATGACAGATTCCCACCTCAGAACTTTGCAGCTTGACGCTGGCTCGGTCACGATCAAAGTCACGTCAGAATATACCATTGTGTGAGGAGGTGAAGATGAGCCACTATTAACTATAAATAGCTCATAACTATGGTCAATTTTAATTAGAATGCCAACCTTTAAGTACGGATATGTTATGATGTTATGATAGGAAAATGCAATTTAATAAAAATTGGTTGATGTTTAGAGGGATTGTCTGGGATCGTTAAGTGGGCCACTCCAATTGCTTTGGCGGGCCGGATGTGGCCCGCGGGCTGTAGTTTGGGGACCCCTGCTCTACAGCATCCATTTTAACTTGAGGTGTTTTTAAAATGCAAAAACATCTCTGTGATCTTTGCCGTTGCTTACTGAGACTTGATTTGCTTGGGCCTGTACAGATTGTTTCTAAACCCATGACCGAGACCAGCAGATCAAAGTTTATACTGATTTTATGATTGTACTGATATCTTCCCATCTCTCTGTCTATAAAAACTAGACTGCAAAATTGCTATGAGATTCATTCAATAGTGATATGACCTAAATATAAACATACGTATGTTCTAAAATGTAGTCCAGGTATTAACATCCACTCTTTTGTCACAGAAACATTTCAACAACAATACTAAATGATTCACAGATTAATGAAGTGAATTGGTGCAAAAAGCACATTAATATTTGACTGGGGGTGAATGGTTAAACACTGATTGAAGACCCTTCAAGAGCAACACTCAAGAGGCCTGACTGATCTATAAGGCACATGAACGATTGGCAATTATGTTGCACCACTGTACCATTAGTCTTCATTGAGGAGGAAGCTGTAATGAGCATCAGGTTGTTGTGCGTTGAAACACGCAGGAACAATGCATGATTGCATCCGAGTTGTCTGACACATGACATAACTGCACCTCTGTGTTTTACGTTACATTTAAAGACAATAAATGCAGACAAATGTTAAAATCTCAAGCACTTTATTAGGTTTGAACAGTATCTTGCTTAGAAAGGCCATTTGGCATTATATAATTATATATAATTTTATCATATATATAATTATATATACATATATTCAAATGTTGAATAACAAAATGCTAGAAACAAACATTGGCAAATTAAAAAATAGGATTTGCTTAAGACAATTATACCAAATTAAAGATGGCCAAAACAAAACATCTCTAATACATTTCAAAATGGTCCCAATACAGTTCAATATACATCTTTTTTTTTTAAAAAAAAAAAAAAGAAAGAAGGGGGAAGAAAATAAAATAAGCAAGGCAGCAGACAGGAATGAAATATAAATAACCTTACATTATGTACAAAAGGGAGTGGGCAGTGACCACTGGGAAAGAATGGTTCAAGGACAAAGTGAAAGAGGGAAAGGAAGCGATAAGAGGACAGAGGTGAGTGGAGCTGGATAGGAGACATAGAGGACATATAAAGGTGGAGAGAAGAAGGAAGTTCTTCCGTGGTCTCCCTCTCTACAAATGGAGACATATTAATTCTCCAGGGCATTCAAAATGCTCCACTGGGGCAAAGCTCCAAGAATAAAAGAGATGTAAAACAGGGAACACTGGTGTCCCTCAATGATAATGCATAAACAATGCAACTGTATTTGTTGTGGGAAAAACTTTATGAATTTTTGTTCAACATTCGGGTACCCACAATTGATTATTTGTCATGGATCCCGCGTTCAACTGATATGGAATGAGATGAAGCCATTAAATCAAGATGGAAATTAATTAATAAGTGACCTCAATCTGCAAAATCAAGGAATTTAGGTTTATACGACTTCAGGGAATGTGAGAGGAAGGACGACTGACCCAGTCTTGTTTTGGCCCTATTGATTCATCAAAGAGGTTTGTCACTGGTCTGCAGGTGAGGGTTGGGAAGTACATGCAAGTGGGGAAAATCCAAAGGACAGCCTTGAGCACGGTGATGGCTCCACCACATATTGTAGGTAAAGTTGAGAAAATTCATTTCTTTTGAAAACCTGTTAGTGAGGCACTTTTTTTTTCTTTTTTTCTTTTTTTTTAGTTCACTGTAATCGCACAATAGTGGGTCTCAAGGGTTGGCACAGTGTCGTGTTTTGTTGTCAAACTGCAGAAAGACAGTTATCACGTGATCCAAACACACACAATAAACCCATGTAATTTAAGCACAGATAGAACAGCCAAACAAAACAGAAACCCCTGCTCCACTAATTCAAGATCCAGTAAGTGACAAACTAAATAAATGATGAACAAAATGGCACCTAACTAATAGTGCGGGCACTTGTGATGCTTTGGAATGAAACAAGACCTGAAATGAAGATGATGATGCACAAACAGCCAAAAATTTCAGTGACTGGTCAATTGTAATATCTGCTACTGTCCCTGTGCGGGCCTTACAGAAGGCTTAACCGGGGGCTTTGAGACCTGAAAGAGCTTCAAGAGTTCAAATATAGTTCCCATATTCCAATATCAAGGCCAAATCATCTTTCTGACCTTATCTCTCATTTGGTTCTGTACATGTAAGGGCTTTGCTTTCGCTGCAAATAGTGCATGAGTGTTCAAATGATCTGCATTGATGCAACCACGCTTCCTAAAAATTCAGCGTGTACTTTTAATGACGTGCGTTATCAATAAATTAAAATTTGATTGTGCTCCTTCCTTTAATTAAAGAAACAGGAGTGTTAGTGTAATTTAGTCTGTTTGTGTGTGTGTGTGATGTAAATTATATACAAGTATGTATGAGTTTTGCTCAGTTAAAATCCACATTACAAAAAAAAGACTGAAATAGCTTTAAAACTCCTAAAAGTAATATATTTTTTAATATCATGGCATTAAAATCTGGGTGAGGCAATGATATCTGAATACCCCTCCGGTGGGAGTTAAAACCACTTGACCGTGGGTCAGCTTTGGAGGTGAACTCAAGCTCAATTTGTTCAATTTATAAATTTAAACAATCCTGGCATCAGTCATTTCCTGAGCTGACCGAGTTGAAATTAGGACTGACCTGAAGCCCCGCGTTTAACTGACATCATTCATCTTTCATTACAATCATAAAGGGCATGGCCTCAATTGTGACCTCATCTTAAAAAAAAAAACACTGTAGTTCAAGCCTGAGTGTCCTCACAGGACAGCTGTTTAAAAAAAAAAAGGAAATCATTGCAAACATTGCATGGCACACCTCCACTATTAAAAGTAACAATGCATCCATCCTTGAGGAATATGTTAGCAACAGCATTTGAATAAAAGGAAACATTCTTCGGCATCAGTGTTCACGATGGGAAACGGAAGCAAATCATTCTTTAAAACAGTGACAGTACAGCGCCGTGATGTGAGGCTGACAAAAACAGAAAAAAAAAAAGAAAATGACAGTTAATTCAGACAGACTCAAAGGAAGCCCATACAGAAAAGAAATGTATCAAAACAGTCTACAAGAAATACTGACATGCGTCTGTAAACAAGAAAAAGAAATATGCTGGGTATATAACATTTGTTGATTTGTATGATGCAATAATGGCGTTACTTGTGATTGTTGTTTTGAGATTTGGCTTTTCAACATGATCAAAATTGCTGCCGATACTGTAACTGAGCTTAAAGTAAAATCTAAATCATTTTAAAAGGTTGACCAATTCTCCCAACCCCTTATATTTCTTTACTGTACGGGGCAAAAAATAATCTAGATTTTCTACTTTCCCAAATTCCTGTTATAGTCCAGGAATGTGTTGGTTGGTGATCCTTGGACAGTAAAATAGCTTTCTTGTACTGAATGGCCGAACATGGTTGGTAGAGTCCCTCAGACTCCAGAGCTGCAAAACAAAGTGAGTGAAGGACTTTGGCACTCAGTGGATAGAAGACAGTACTGTGAAAATACACCGTGTCCTCTCTGCCAGCTTATGCTCCAACTCAAACAAACACGTACAGACTCTCAAAAAGAATGAATGCTCCTGGTTTGAAGTGTGTGTGTTCATGTGTATGTGCATGTGTGTCAACCTGAGACTTTGAGCTACGTCACAGAGATTCTGATCTCCAATTGTTATCACTTGTACGTGGATTGAAAAAAGTTTTTTCCAAGTCGATGCACCCAATTCTGTGTGAGAAAAATGGCTCTGACTGTGTGTGTGTGTGTGTGTGTGTGTCTATGTGTATTAATGTCTGGGAGTGAAAACAATCCAGGTTTTGTCTGTAAATGTAGAAACTCCTGGATTCTGCTACCGAACACGTCGCTACAGCTTGGCTCAGGCAAGGCCAAAAATGTCCTTAGTCTCTGCCTCTGTCCCTATAGAGTTAAAAAAAAAAAAAAAAATCCAAACATCATTACCTTGACTCTGGATTTTTTTTTAACATTAGCCTCAAAAGCATTAGATTCATATTCATATATATTTATATATTTATATATATACCAATAAAATACATTACAGGTGCCACCCGAAAATGCAGCCAAACTCAAAACTGTGTCTGAAACCAAAGTAATAAGATGCAACACAGTAAGTATATATACATATGGGGGAGAGATGAGAAGGAAATAGGGTTGAAGGGCTGTATTAACAAGACCAATATTACAAAATATTCAAGAAGGCATCTCAGTTATTTTCTCTGTCCGACTGCACTGCCCTGTCCTCCGGGCCGAGACGTCTGTTCCCTTTTCCTTTCGGGCAGTTCATCCCATCCACAGATCAAGTTGTGATGAGTCCTTTTTATTTATTTTTTTAATCCACCAGATGGGAATATGCAGGTTTCTGCATGGTAATGTATGTGTGTGTAGGATCTGGTGCGTGCTTGTATCAAGTGTATGCTGACATCCACCTATCAATCCATCCATGGCGGGTCCCTACTTGAAGTTGGCGTAGTCAGAAAAGGCATCGATATACTCCTGGACCACTTTGTAGCAGAACTCGTACTGTTCCTAGAGGAGGGCGGGATGGGAGAAACAGCCGCATCAGCTGGGAAACTAAACAAGTAACACTAAGATCACACTATAATCACCTGACGTCTGTGATTCTATAGCATCTTGACCTGTGACCTCTTCTGTAATGGCTCACAGTGTATGGTTATACGTGACATAAAGCAGAGTACAATCATACAGCTGTAGCTTGAGCACTGATGGGCAACGAAAGTTCCCAAAACTTTGTTTTGCATTTAGTACCCACACTTAGAAGTCCCCCGGCACATACAAAGCTCTACACAAAATTCAACTTACATTTGGACTTCATTTCTACCTCCAGAATAAAATGAAACTAATGTATTAAATTTATAGTTCAACATGTTGGGTAACACGCTTATTGTCCTTCCTGCTGAGAGTTGGATGGAAAGATTAATACCACTCTCATGTCTGTGTGGTAATGGGTAATACACAGTAATATACAGCTGGAGGCAGCAGCTGGTTATCTTAGCTTAGCATAAAGACTAGAAACAGGGGGGAAAGCTAGCCTGGCTCTGTCCAGAGATTTAAAAGAAAATCTGCCTAGCAACAACTTCAGGTGGGTTGGGTGGGTTATGTGCCAGACTATTACTTAGTCAGGACCAATAATCTCTGCTGGTTGCCTGGCAACTGGTCTCAGCCAAGAAATAGCCTAGTACATAACCCACCTTAACACAGTGAATTGTTGTTGTTACAATAAGGTTTTTGTTTGGAAAAGACATAACATTTTAATTAGTGAGCTTTAGCTGGTAGGTGGATTTTGTTACCTTTTGACAGAACCAGCTGTTTCCCTGTTTCCAGTCTTTATGTTAACCTAAGATAAGATAACTGAATGCTGTCTTCAGTCCATATTTACCGTATGGACAAGAGAGTGGTATCAACAAGCTTATTTCTCAAGATGTTGAACTATTCCTTTCACCCTGCAAATATTCTTGTAGGCTTTGGAATCAAGTGTGTCCATCTGTTGTTTGCACAGTTAGTAACTGTTTAATGACACAAATCTTATTTTCAAACTGCTGCCAAAATCCCATCAGTTGCTCCTTGGCTACAGCTCAGTTTGACTACCAATATTAATGGAAATACCTAAGTTGCTCAGATACCCTGTTCTGACAGACACACTACCAGCAGGTGGATTTAAATTCTTGTTAGTGGTAATAAATCAAGCTGCTTGTTTCTTAATTCACTTTTAAGGAGCTGTTGCTTAAAGATTTTAAAAAAAGCCAACAGGTGGAGTTTTAAAAACAAGATCGTCCTCTCTGTCACAAATTCTTAACAGCAAATCTGAAGGAAGCAAATGTCTCACTTTCCCATTACATCCCTTTAAAGATTAACCAGTTAAGTAGTTTTTGATCATTATAACAAAGTTATATGTACAAATTTAAGCCTTTACCAGTGTCTGCACCATGTGGGGTCTCTGCAGTCTGAGGCTCTTGACAGTCTGGAAGACATCCAGGATGCCCTCTGCCTTCACCCTCTCCAGCACTGTACTCAACGCACAGAAAGTCCCTGTCCGGCCAGCGCCAGCACTGTAAACACACACACACACAGGCAAAAATATAAATCTCAGTACACACAGTGCAGAAATAACGTACACACAAGAGGTTTTGTTCTGGGTGTAAATTTGAGAGAAGAGGCATAGGAACAGTCCAACAAGGAGCAGTTAAAATGTCACAAGGAAAAAGAGAACAATTCTTCTGAGATGTTTTTTCCTGTGATTTAACAGCTGCAACAATGTCCCACACACACACACATACACACACACACACACCAGCAAGCACATGTAACTTCCAGAGCATTTTCATGATGTGCAACAATAATACAACGAAATATCAATAATTATCTTTTTGAGGAGTGTTTTATTTCCCTTTTTATCTTACACTTGTACATTCAGGTTCAAACAGCCACATACTTAGTGAAGGCTTGTGTGTGTGTGTGTGTGTGTGTGTGTGTGTGTGTGTGTGTGTGTGTGTGTGTGTGTCTGTCTTACCTGCAGTGTACAGTGATGGGGTGGTTGCCAGACTGCTGCTGTTGTTTCTGCACCGCAGCGATTATATTGATCATGCCTTTCCCATCAGTGGGGATACCCACCTCTGGCCAGCCGTGGAAATGGAACTGACGCACCGCTCGAGCCTTGTTCTCCTGGACGTACGGAGGACAGCAAAAATAAGACATTAGGGTATGTTTTCCAGGTAGTAATGCAAAGATTGTTGTTGGTATAATCTGGGTTTTAACCTCCAGTGTGTTTGTGTGTGGAGTGTCTGCTTGTTTCCCTGTGTACTCTCTTACCCTGTTGTTGGTGACCAGGAGGTCACGCACTGTGTAGCTCTCACTCTCCTCCTCCCTTTTAATCTCGATGGAGATGTCCCCGTAGACCACCACTCCATCACTGGGCCAATACTGAGCACACTTTTCCTGCAGCACACAAGATAGAAGCGGTCAATTGACAACATCTTTGGATTCTGAACATTTTAATCTAAATCTAAAATCTAAAATGTCAGACATCTAAATCTCTAGAGAGTGATTTTTATTGTTTGTATGCAACTCGTTCATTTTTCCAGATGTCCAAGTAGTACTAAACAGGGCTAAATCATATGCAAAAAAAAAAACAAAAAAAAAACATTTGACATGTGATATGTGATTTTTGCTGGGGTCTGTACTAAACAAACATGTTCTCCTACATCTGGAGAATATGATTTGTAGGCCTGCGCATCTCTATCACAATGCTTCATTTATGATATGTTGACCCATTTTTACCTTTATCAAAAAATTTTCCATATTGCAATTTCAATAATATTTTGATTAATTGTTCAGCCCTAGAAACTTAGTACAATTCATTAATCATCAATTACATGAACAAAGAAGAAAACGGATACCAAACCCACCATGTTTGTTGGAAATAACTGGATTCAAATTCTGGCCATTAAATCTGATTTCCTGGTATGACTGAGCTTCAACAATTACTTTCATTCTTTGTTGTATATCAAACCATCTGGACTGCTAATAATTTATAGATCTTATTAAAGATCTGCAATGGAGATATGTTAGAAAACCACTAAAGATCAGGTCATTTTGTTGAAATTAATAACATGTTATACAAGACTGGTGGCACTTTGAGCAAACAATCTAATATCAATATTCTATTTTAGCCAGATATTGACCTGATATCTAATATGAGTGGTGCGCGCGCGCACACACACACACACACACACACACACACACACACACACACACACACACACACACACAACCACACACCTGGCCTCTCTCCTCCAGCTCAGTGAGCATGACTATGGAGCAGCTTCTCCACTCCCAGATCATCCTCCAGAAGTCCTCTATGGTGTGCTGCAGGGGGCCCTGGCTCGCCATGTACGAGTCCTTCTGGCGGTAGCCCTGTGTGGGAAGGAGGGAGGATATTTGTTACAAAATAAACAGTAAGAGGAAGAGAGGAAGACTTACAATAACACCTGATCGATTACTTGCATTAATGAATTGAAATGATTCACTCTAATCCAGGTGCTTTTACACTCACATCAATGAAAGAGGCATTGACATAGTCAGTGTTCTCCTCTCCTCGTTTGACGGGAATGATCACTCTGTTAAACTCATCTGTCGGGAGCAGAAACATTAATCTTGGTTGGGGAATAGCTTGAAGAGTGGACATAAGGACTTTATATCTGCATTTTCATCATGTGCATTAAGGCGTTCATCGCTGGGTGCAGGTACAACACTGTATAATATCCTCACATCTACAACTTCTTCACTCACATGGAATGATCTGTAGGACTCTGTTCTTCTTCATGTTGGCGGGCAGGTTGCCTGTTCTCATCTTGTCATTCTGGATCTTGATGGATGTCAGTTTCTAGAAGTTATGTGATTCAAATATTAACATGTATACTTCAGTGACACATCTTACTGCAATGAAACTGTTAGATGTTTAGGTATGATGACTGAGGGGTCACAGAGAATAACTGCCACTTTGGAAGAATATGACACAAACAGACCTTGAATTCAGCCTCCAGGCCACTGCAGCCAGCTCCAGGTGAGGGGGTGTAGAGTTTGGCCAGGTGGGACTCCAGAGAGGTCACTTCTAGCTCTGTGTCTCCGTAAAGGTAGTGCTCTAACAACGCCTGGAAGATGAACACATACTGCATCTGTGGGAGAGAGAGAGGAAGTTGAAAGATAAGTGGAAGTTAAAAAAAAAAAACCATTGCACTGAAAACACTGCATCATGGGAGAGACTGAGTTCATGTGAACAGAAATTGTGATGCATTTTCCGTTGTGTGCCCAGGGTGGAGTGTGTCAACGCTGGACTTACATCAGTCTGGACCATCTGACAGCGCTGGGCTCTGATCCTGGTGACGAAGCCAAACACATCCACCTTCCTCTCAGCGATCATCATGTCCAACATGGCATCGATCACAATGAAGGTACCTGTCCTCCCCACACCCGCACTGATGGACAGAAACATGATTCGTGAGTTGTGTGGTATTGAGAAAACAAAAATAGGCAAAAATCAGAAAGCCTTGAACCACTTACCTACAATGGACCACAATGGGCCCGGCATACTGGGGGTTGCAGGTCTTGACTTTCTTGAGGAACTTCAACATGCCAATAGGGGTAAAGGGCACCCCAAAATCTGGCCAGCTGGTGAAGTGGAACTGGGTGACGAGCCTCTGAGGCTTCTTCCCAGACACATCTCCCACCTGAGACACAAACAAAACCAGGTCATAGACTGAGCCACAAGGGTTTCCATTTATGTCACTGACACTAAAATGACAGCATTTCTAAAGTCCAAAAATAATCCACATTTTTTGTGTACCCAGATACTCCTCTAAAGATCTTTGGAGATACACACTACAAACTACATCAGTGTTTTGCAGAATGTAGCCAGCAGTGCTGCATGATAGGGGGTATACTACCACTACTATGAAAAATGGGAGGGTCAAAATGGGTATGGTTCATATTGATTTCTCTTTATAAAGACATTAGATGTTAACCGCGTGCTTAGAGAAAAAAATTGTAACACAATAAAACAAATTTAGCATGATAGCTGTATTAATAAGAGGTTTATGGTACCTGCTGGATGCAAAACTTGCGGATGGTGTAGTCCACCAGAACCATTGTGTCTTCTACAGATACTCGGATGTTCCCGTATGTCCAGCAGCCCTGGTCCGGCCAGTACTGTGCACACTTACACTGAAAAACAGAGAGTGATTTAACACTGAGCACACTCACAAAAAAATGCAAACGAGGTTGTCCAAATTAACAATAACCTAATTATGCTACATCTTTGACAGACTGAGTATAGTGAGAATCAAAAACTGGTTAAAGGTAAAATCAGGATTTGAAGGCCCTTACATAAGGGTTCACATTGGGGTTTAAAAAGTGCACTAACTAACTTTACAGATGAAAAATTTACTTTGCAAACAAAGACACGTTAAACATAAAACCAGTGATGTGTTTTGTTCCCTTGTGCTTTTAAAAAGGTTTATCCAGTCCCCATCTCAACTGTGTATGTATATTATTAAACACAAGTGATCTTATTAACCAGCATACAAACACAAACATCAACATCATCCCTACCTCTTTTCTCTCCTTCAGATTGGTCACCATGACAATGGTAGCTGTGTTCTGCTCCCAGATCATTCGCCAGAAGTCATTTACTGTTTCCTCCTTTGGCCCTGAGATCACGAAATCAAGAGAACATCTGTTGAGCTACTAATCAAGTAGTCTGTTTATAAAATGAATAGCACAGCACAGTACTCTCTGCTCCAATTCAGGCGCAAAGCTTACCTTGAGCTGCAATAAACTTATTCTTCTCTTGATAACCCTGCAAAAGAGAGGCCAAAAAAGATGTTAGAATGAGGCAAAATAAGAGTCCCCCATATTTGGAGCAGAATTGTTTCTTCTCTGGAAAAAGTGCTGCACTTATACAAACATTTATAAAGGAGGCGTTGATGAAGTCAGAGTCAGGGACTCCCTCCAGAGATGAGAGATGCACCCTGGAGTGATCATCTGAGGGAGAGAGAGAGGGAGAGAGAGAGAGGGAGGGAGAGAGGGAGAGAGAGAGAGCAGGAGACATGGAGAGAAAAAGCTAATGAAGAGCTGAAGCAGCACAGTTCAAACCAAAAAAGTATAACTCATTAAATCACTTTGCAAACTGCCTGTCTGGTCTTTTCTATGATTGGACTAATAAAAGCAGGGAATAAGTCAGATACACTGATTTCTGAGTTGTTAATGTCCATCACAGTCACAGTGTCAGGGTTCTGTTTTCACTCACATGGCAGGATGTTGACATATCTGTTCTTTTCTTTATTCTCCTCCTTGGAGGCAGCGTCACATGATGCCTGTATGGGGCAGACTGGCAGCGCCTAAGCACAGAAATAAAAAACATACATTTAGATACCAGGAAGAAGAGCAGACAGACGCATATCAATCTCAAATCTCTCTGTGGAACCCTGCACATCATTTACTTAATTACATTGGTTGGACATACATACTGTGCATTATCCTTTTGTATCTGGTAGCTTAATGGCTACTGTAACAATAAATTTACTCAAGATCAACACCATGCCTATAATCCTATTTGATGGTTACTTCCCTCCCTATAACAAAGCACTTCTTTAGGCTACAGGGAAATGGGTTGGAGGGGAATCTCAGGCTCAGTGTATTGTCAGAGGGTGTGTGCTTGAGTGTGCCATACATTAAACTCCTCCCTGAAGAGTTTGTTGTCATCAGCCATGCGACGGTTCATTTCTTCCTCTAGCTTGTCAACAGGAAGGGGCGGGTACTTCCTGTTTGTGCTGGGTGAACGGGCCAATAGTGGGACACTCTGGAGTTCTGCGCCGGCCGGCGAGCAGGAAGGGAGTAGGCGGGGGTGAGTGAAGGAGGGAAGGAACAGGAGGGGTGAGGCAGGTGGAGATAAAGACATGTGAGACGGGGTACGAACATGAGACTGGAACTGTCTTACATCAAGTTAACACTGACTTCATCATTCGCTGTCTTTTCTAAACATGCCCACCAGAGGGCGATGTGACTCAACACTGTAACATGAAAAGCCAACTGCAGCCCTGCTGGTTAGGTAATCTCAGTGAACAAAAGCCTTCTGCCAACAGTCAACCAGTGAAATGTTATCGGTTAGGGGAGCAAGATCAATCAAGTCTTATCAGAAAAAACTCAGAGTAACAAGTTTGGTCAAACTGGCTGTACATATTTGCTGATACGATCCAAAACAAATAAATGAGTGTTCAGTGAGTATGCAGTCATTATCTGCTGACAAATACAAAAAGCGCACACACGTGCGTGCGCACACACACACACACACACACACACACACACACAGACACACACACACACACAGAGACACACACACACACAGAGACAGACAGACAGACAGACTAATGCACATTTGGCTATTTTACCTGTATCATCCGATCTGCCGTTGGTCAGTCTAAAGGAGTTTGAATGGCTTCCTGCCTGCTTGTACTTCTTAAACCTGTCAATCAACAACGATCAAAGTGGATATGAATGCACAGAGATACACACACACACACACACACACACACACACACACACACACACACACACACTGTCTCATACATACAGACAAATAAACACATACTGCTTTAGTCTCATAGCAGAATGCCAATCAGTCGCTGCCAAGGTAACGGCAGCACCTTAGGACATTCACCACAGGTCTCTGGCTGGTCTTGTATAAAGAACATCAACAGCATATCACCAACCTGAGCATGTAGAGGATGATGATGATGAAGATGATGACCAGCAGGGAGGACAGGGCCACCATCACTGCTATGATTGGCATTTCATCAGCCGGGCTGTTGTCTACATCAGAAAGAAAAGGGTGGATAAATGATTTGCACCATGCATATGATTAAGAAAAAAATGATAAAAAATGTGTCTCAATAACTGAGGTGTGTCAGTGTTTTAGTTTGATGCCGATGCCAAATTCCATTGCCATTACCAATTTTTTTCTCATACTACACTAGTCCACATAAACTTGGGGTGTTTTATGTTAAATGTGGATTTTTCAGTATTTTATTAGCTTACAAATGTGACACATGATATCAAGAAATTATAAATCATTATAATATTGTGATACTAAACATGGAAGAGGGATTTCACCAGCACTCTAAGACTGAAGGATTTAAAGTGTTAGATGAGAATTTTGATACCACTCTTTTATCTGTAACGTAAATATGAAGCTACAGTCAGCAGCCAGTTAGCTTAGCTTAGCATAATGACTAGAAGCACGGAGAAACAGACTAGCTCAGTCCAACAGTGACATTTCATTTGTACAAAAACTGAAGTCACCAAAGGGATAGACTGTTTGGCCAAGGAATTTCTGAACAAATTAAATAAATGGTATATAACGTGTGAATCAGTGAGCTTTAGAGATGATGGTATACGAAATTTGTCGATATTCAAAATAATTCCTGTTGCTGTTTTTCTGTTGATAGACTAATCATTTCAGCCATACCCAAAATGTTTCTTCTAAAAACTATTCTTTTAAACAAGTAAGCATTGCACATTCATTTTCTGTTGATCAGATAAGCGATCAATCTACTTATTGTTTTTGCTAGGATTTAATGAATACTGATAGACTGATATTCTGAGATATCTAGTGGCTGTGTAATGTCCCAAAAAAGCAGTTATCATTTACAGACTTTTAGCTTGTTAACATGTCTGAATGTCGGTAAAACAATAAGCCAAGGTCATAAGGTGACCTCAGCCTCTTTCAACACCAGCCTGTATCTTTCCTTTCCATAATGGTTGTCCATGTTAATATTTCAGTGGCTTTCAGAGGAAAAAAAAACACAGACACAAATGGAGAGCGCAACAGGCTGTCCTTTGGAGTGAACAGATAAATCACAGTTTAACAGAGAGGGTCGACCCTCGGCTTCTATATCTGGTTATACCCAGGATGACAGTAGCCAGAGAATGATGGTATTAAATACTTAAACATTTCGACTGTTTGCTATGAATTCTATATGAATTATTCAGAGTGTAAATGTTTCAATGCGAGTCTGTCTATGTTCATAAACCAGATGAATGTAGAGCTACTGTCATGCTACTGGCTGGTGAAATAGGATTGTGTTCAAAAAGGCTTAACTTTTCAAATTAGACATTACATGGGCAAAGTTATCTATTCATTCTGATGCATCCTGTAGAATACAATGGCTGACCAATTTGTATGTGTTTCCACCCTGTGCATGAGTTACTGGTTGAAGGCAATCCTATAGTCTTCCCCGTGACCTTTCACTGCCGCCGTTAGCACAAAAGACATGAGATTTGAACAACAACAGGAGTTTGGTGTACAAAAAAAACAAAAAAAAAACAAACAAAAAAAAAAAAAAAACGGCTGCCGTTTGTGTGCTGATGACTGGTCTGTAAGACACATTAGACCACAACAAAAGAAGAGATTTTTTCTAGAAACCTGCATGGTGGTGGTGACAATGCAATGACAAAATCAGCTGTTCCATGGATCGACTCAAAATTCAAGAAAGCTCTGAATGTCACAGTCAAAAATATGCTACAAAGAATGCATCGTTTAACTTCATGCTCTATATGCGCTTTCTGGGGGGAGGCAGTTTGGAACACCGCCCAGTTATGTTGCATTTTCATGCCCATTTCCCAGCACTTTTCAGTGTTCTCCCTCGGACAAGGTGTACATTGAACAGAGCAGAAGCACAACAAGCTGAGGGTTATCATGTGGAACTGACACAGGCTTGACGCATCTAATGCCATCTAGAACTGCGCACAGCTCGCCACACAAGGCCCACAGATGGCCAGAGGGAGACAATGGAGCAATTACATAACACCTATGAACCCAGAGTGATTATGTTATATAATAGAAACACCATATATAGTGCAGTGCAGCTATATCTGTTGCATTTATGTTCGCCAGGAGTCTATATGTTTATCAGAACCTCTACGGTTTCCCCTGAAGTCCTAAAATACACCATCTCAGTGTTTATGTACAGGAACCAGTTTCAGTTCTTGTTTCACCCAGTCCAGGATGATTCAGAACATTCCTGCTGTTATCATATTTGATAGTAAAAAACATCTTTCTAAATCAATGACTGACATTTGATAGTGATTTGTGTATTTCTCTATAATAATCATGTAATATGAATAATTAATGTAAAAGAAGCGGGTGGGGGGGAGTCATGTTTCACTTACAAGAATATTACTAGGATGGTCTGCACAGAGACTCAAAGCTGCTAAAAGGCAAAGCTGAATAACTGAATAAGAATTTTCTTCAATATATGAAAAAAACAGCATTTCATAAAAACATAAACTGAAGAAGATAGAAATCCCTCAAAGCACTTTTATTTTCATATATATATATATATATATATAAATAAAAGACACTTATGGCAGCGTCTGGGTCATCCAGTTTTGGTGCTAATTCTGATTCTTGTGGATGACTGGTCAAATGCAGGTATGTCACGTCAGGATATTTCCAGAGTCTAAAAGCAGAAAAATGTTCAACCATCTAAAATATTAAAGGTCAACTTTTGACCAGAGAGCTCACTTGCTTGCTCTTTCTAGCTGTTGCTACTGCTTTTCTCTCCTACGCTAATAACATACAATTAGAAGGTATAAAAAAAAAGGTATACCATGAATCTGTGATGTTTATGTATTCCAGGAGCTATTCTAATGAAGCTTAAATGTGTCTGAGGTGATCTGATGACAAATAAGAATGCACCCAAAATGCATTGGGGTCAACAGTAGGAACAAATAAGCACACTTTAACAGGACAGCACATTCATCTTTATAATGTGGGGTAAAGCAGGTAATACCTATTTGACAAAGTTGTAGATAATTGATCTGTAAGGTTTAAAAGTATGAACCTGTCAGCCACTACAAAACAGTCACCAAGTCACTTTCTTCTGTTGAGCAACAACTGCACTTGTGCCAGAGATAAAATGAAATGTGACTAACAAAGAAAAATCCCATCACAGCACAGTCTTCAAATATCTGGGTTCAACACACAGGGTCTAAGCAGTGCCTTAATGATTTCCCACACCTCTCTGAGGCTACCTTGGATCTCTGTCTCTCCTAGCATAGATTTGTCCCGGTGTAACTGATGAAAGGCGCTGCATAATGACGATGACTTCAGACAGAGTCCCTTGTTACTAAACGGTGAGGATAATGTTTCAGGATGGATATTTCCTCCAAGAAGTGTTTTTTATCACAACCTGTGTCTCACTTTTGTAGTTCTGGCCATCATTTCTTTGAGTTATGATAACACTGTTCTCATTAAAGTAATTGCTGAGATCTGGGAGTGCGTTGACATCGCTACAACAAACTCTGACAAGTTATAAAACACGAGTAGTTGAATAATCATACAGGTTGTAAACAAGCAAACAGTTTATTCAAACCACTCGACTTGAAGGTAAAAGCAAAACTGAGGGCATCTGACATGTCAGTAATAATCCCTCATTGCACAAGAAGACTGTGTGCACCCACAACTACAATAGTACCATGAAGGCATAATCCTAACCGCAGCGGCCAGGGATCAAGTCCAACCTGTGACCCTTTGCACCATATCATCCTCTCTCACACTCACTATCAGAATTAAGACAAAAAAATAACTGAAAAAGAAAAAAAGTGATGAACCCGGCTGTGGCGCACTTGTTATCCAGTGCTTTTAACTTCAAAAGTCACAATTTGGCATTGAACATCAAGTTCATCACTTTTTATTGTCCCCAGGAAACACTTCCGTCGTGTTGTAGGACTGAATTTGCGTTTGTGTCTTTGCATCTGTTTTCCTAAGTTGTAGTGTGTTGAGCTCTCAGGGCCACCGTAGATAGGAAAGATGGCAAAAACTATGGAAATAAGACTGGAAGATCTGGAATTATCCTTCAAGTATCCTCACACTAAATCTGTTCCCAAGTGAAGAGAGTCTTCAGGCTAATAAAAAAACAGACACACAGTGTCCTACACATGCATCGACACTCACCATGTGGGCTGGGGTCTGAGGTGAACTCCTTTCCAGGTTCTGTGCTGGTCTCTGTCTCTAAGCTGAATATATCCTTATCAGCATAACTCTCTGTTGTTGGGGTGTCTGGAGTTGAGGCTGTGGTCCTGTTGTCTCCCCCCGCTGGGGTGGGAGGAGGGTTAGACTCAGTGCTCGGTGGTGCCTGAGGGGCATCAGTTGGAGCTTGAGGTGGGGGTGGAGGAACTGGCAAAACTTTTGTGGTGCCATTGGGACCCACAGCTTGTACGTCCTCACCACCAGCTGGGCTTGTAGTGGTGGTGGTCGTTGTTGTTCTTGTTGTCATCACCGGGATAACTGCAGGGGCGAGCGTTGTGGGTGGGCCTGGGGGGGCTGGTGTGGGTGCGGTTGAGTTGAGGGAGGGTGCGGCGGGAGGGTCTGTGGGTTTAGCAGTGATATTTGGAGGACCTGGAACAAAAGAAAACAAGAATAGGTCACGTATTCTGCAACTTTTCTCTGTGAGCTTCAGGTGAGTAAAGACATTTGTTATCAGTGGACATGGTTCGTACTTGTGATGGGGGCATGATCCTGGGCGGAGGCCCCGAGGGCTAGACTGAGCAGCAGGAGCAGGGGACACACACCCATTCTGCCCTACATGCCAGAAAAAGGACAAAAAGATATTAGTCAAAAACAACCTCAAATCTCATTTGATAACAAAAGATAGTGAACCTCAAAATGTTTCATTCAGACCAAGAGATTCAGGGTTTATCCATTGTATAATCCACAATCCACTATACATTTATTTTTAAATCTTCTATCCTTATCCATCATGCTTATTTTTGGGAGGTAATACTGTTACATTTGAAACGAAAATGAAATACTTGCACAGTGTATCCTGTGTGTGTAAAATGTTGTTTACCTGAAGAAGGGAAGTTGGCATCAATCACTCATTCGCACGCCGTGGCCCTAGAAAGCAAACAGAATACTTTAAGCATTACTCAGAGGATTTCGTTACTTTCAGGCACATAATGTATCAGTAAAACTTGCTCCTTGAAACATACTTCTGTAAGATCAGTATCAAGATGAATGGAATTAGATGACGTTATTCGAGTCGTGGCGATGTACCAGAAGAGACATGAACAGCATAAAATCCCTAAAAATTCATATTTAGACTGGGCAATCATTTAATATTATGGTTTGTTGACTTAGAGAATTGTACCTTGTCACATGCTCCAATTACATTATCATTATTGATTCAATGGAAATTGTAGTTAAAAACTAACAAAATGAGTTATTGAAGTTTTTGTTGTACACTTCTTTTTGTCTGATTATTTTATACGTGATTTTGTTTGCATTTGCCATATAATTATGTCTGGAAAATGCTGTTGAAAATGTTGCTGGTTGAACATTACTAATTTAATTAAATGTTAAATCTTTTGTAAAAAAAAAAAAAAGGAAAAAAAAAGGAAAAAAAAAGGAAAAAAAAGGTTGGTTCCTGCTTTTCCCTGCATTTCATTGTTATAAACTAAATATCTGTCTGTTTCTTACACTTTCCTGCAACAGAGTTTCATCATAAAAGAAGTGTTATGCCCAACCAACAATCCTCTGTTACTGAGCATTCGTCACCTGGAGCATGACCAAAACAGAGTCAGTGTCACGTTTAAATTCCTGCAGTGACAGCGAATCAGCATTTAGGACACTCTTCACCCACTGATATGGGGATGAGCGAGTGGGGGCCAGAGGAAAGACTTGTTGGAGAAAGCATGACGGAGGCTGGGTGGTCGGTCGGACTGACTGTCAGTCTTCTGTATAATCTCAGAGGCCAACAAGGCTGTTGTCTCCCTGACTGAGCTGTGATAATCCCTGGACGTAATCCCATGGTCCTGACCCTGGAATAATCCAGCCCGTCTGCCTCTGCTTAGAGAGATACTTCAACGCCGCACCAAGCCAAACACTGCAGAAACTGATGCTTTACATCACGGATTATTGCATCAGTGGGCAGAGGATAAATTGGGCGCTAAAAGCTCTAATAGTGCCAGTTGCCAATCTTCTGCTGTTTTGATCTGAGCTCATTCACTGCAGTGCTTACATTCTGGTTTGAGCTCAGCACTGTTTGGCTCTGACTTCAGCCTGAAATGGGGCATGATGAGCAAGTTATGTGGTCAATGAGGATGCTATTAACCTACAAATCCAATTGTTGCTCTCCCTCTCTCTCTGTCACCCAGCATCCATTTAGCCAGCAAATGACTGTTTCCAAAAACACGACTCATGCCCCTAGAAAAATGGAAATCTTCAAGCAAATATTTAAAAGATTTTAGTCTAGTCTTTTTTGCCAAGAATACCTTTTTTGTTTACAATGACAACATTTTGGCAAAATGTCCTCCTGCTCCCCTTTTCATAGATGTAAGGAAGGATGTGTGTCTGTCCTATTTATAGATGTTTATAAATTTGACAGGAAGGTCTTCTATCACTCATGACTCTCTTTACCTAACAGCTGACTGACTGAATTTGATTATGAATATGGATTTATGTTATGTTTTCATTACTGATTCATCTGCTAATTATTTTCTGTGTCAAAATGTAAGAAAACTAAAAAATGTCCATTCCAACTTCCTATATTTTGTCTGACTAGCAGTCAATATTTTCAGTTTAAAAACCTAGACTTTTGAAAAAAATGACTAAAAACAATTATCTATATAATTGCCAATTGATTTCCTGTAAATCAACTTTGGGGCTGCAACTAAGGATTATATTCATAGTTGAATAATCTTTAGATTCATTTCTTGATTAACATACTTATCATTTAGTCTATAAAAATTCAAAAAATAGTGGAAAATACTCATCATAGTTTCCCAGAGCTCAAAGTCATGTTTTAAAATTGTTTGTTTTGTCTGACCAACAGTCCAAAACCCCAAAAATATTTAATTCACTACCATATATGACCAGAACGAGCAGCAAACCCTCACATTTGAAAAACTGGAACCAGTAAATGTTTGACATTTTTGTTTGAAAGATTACTTAATCAATTAACTTTTATCAAAATTGTTGAATTAAATTAATTTTCTTTACATGTGCTGATTGACTAATCATAACAGTTTGAATTATATCTATACCAACCCCCAGATAGAAAACCAGCCTTTACACTCTTGGTACTTTTCACAGTTCTCTAATAAGAAGCCAGTCCATCAGTATCCTGGCCAAACTGTGTTTTATATTCATATTATACCAGATATTTAAATTCTGCGAGTGAGTGACATCTGTGTGCAAAAAATGACCAACAATATTCACTATAGCTGCTGAACTGTGTCTCACTGTACGTACAGTTTGTCCAGATTTGAGTAAAGCTTTAAATCAAAGTGCTTCCTTCCTCTCCTGTCATCGATTTTATAGACTTAAAAATACCCTGTTAACCCCAAAACCACATTATAACCCTAAAACCCTACCTCTACTATCCTCCCATTCATAATTCATTAAAAAGAGTGACTCAGCTGTAATGGTCAAGGTCTTGAATTGGTACCATTTAGTGTGAATTAGTGTCATACAGCATCTGGTGTGTGTTTTAGGCTAAATTCGATGTGATAGACAAAGGTTACAAATGGGTATTTTCACATCAACAAGCTTTTCTTTTCAGTAACCTTTTCTTAATGAAGCATGACTCATTGTTTTCTGCATGCCATCCAGAGAGGCTGGGTGACGTGTCACTGTGTTGGTGTAAGTGATATAAGCCGGTCCTGTTGCTAACCGTCACTTCGCAGATGCTGCAGGAGCCCGAGAGGGTTTTATCTAGAGATTGTGTCGACCCAAGAGTACATCTCCCCTGAGATGCATCTTAATGGGTTTTATCCTCCTGAGAAGCAGTGGTCTTCCTGAGTGTGTGTGAATGCATGGGGTTCTTTTCTGAGACTTATGTGTTGGTAGAGGACATCATTAATTTAAGAGGCAGTGGCCAAGTGCTTCTATTTGTGCCACTTTTAGGTTTTTGTGCTGTCAGTGCTCTCTATTAATAAGATACTCTGGGTGATGGCTTTGTGTAATCCACACTCAAAAGATGAAGGATGCAGGAAACATCACAAAGAAACTGTGTTGTTATATTATTATACAGGACATTACCATTGAAGCATTGAGGTACATTACTCCTGATCAGTGTCCTGACCAGACTCTAATAATGTTCCTACAATGGCTGCTGAAGAGTTTTCCATTGCAACACATTTGTTAAAAGCATAAGAACAAAGAAATGGCTCACAGCCTACTTTCACTGATTTGATCTCACATTTCATAAACATTAGCTGATAAAACACTTTTCTTTAATCTGTTTTCTTTCAATCCAGCCTCTTGCTCTGCATTGTGACAGCCAAATATTAAAAGTTCCAACAGCTTCATCACGCTATTCCCCACAGAAGAAACATGTACATGCCCATCTATTAGAGAATGAATTCACTCAAAAGGTAGTCATGCATCTCACGCTGTCCTGACTTTGGGCTTGTGTTGTGCAACCATGTGAATATTTTTCAGACAAGGCAGAGCACTTACAGGAAGCCCTGTACCACTGGGGTTGAGCTGCCCTATGGCAAAGTGCAAAACTGCCACTATGACAAGCAACAAGCTACAAAAATCAATGGTTTGCCTCAAGGGAATAAGAAACACACAACACAGAAATGTGACAGGACGTTAGCTTCCTTTTTGATGGAAATCAAAAATGACTGTGGTTTCTTCCTTTTCCACCCTTTATTTTGCCTTAGTGTTATTTTAAGTTTACTTGCACTATCAGAACCTGCTGCACTGGCTTAAATTACACTGGAGTAACAACAGGGCTGGGCATCAAACTAACGTATGACAAACCTTAATACCTGATGAGTGACAACAAAACTTTCTCCACAGCATTGAGTATCAAGAAGTATCAGTATTAAACATTGGCACAGAATGCTTGAGTAGACTCTTAGGCTTGTTTACTTATTCTCCGATCAAATATTTCCTGAACCAAACTGGGAAACATTTATAATATATAACTTATAACTGTATTTTAAGATGTTTATTTAATATTGATGCAATCATCCGTTTGGGTTATTTTGTTCAATAAAAAAAGCTGCATTGTTTAGGCATCTTTACTAAAACTTTGTTACTGGCCATATCGGCATATATATGGAGTAGTAAACGAAATCTTAAACCACTGCCTAAGAAAACTAATTTCTGATGGCAGGTGTCCAGTTAAATAATATATCAGGACTAGTGAACAGTTTTAAATATTCAACTCTATATTAACCATACCATCATCCTTCACACAATGTTACCAGTTAACTCTACTGGGGAAATGAATCATGTGTTAAACTGACTGTATATAAAGTGTGGACATCTGACTTTAACAGCTGACCTTAGAAAACTGTCTTACAATGGAGGACTATTCAGATACAGCCTACTTGTATTTCTTAGATAAGCGTCAGAGCTGAGTTACGTCAGAGTTACATGCACACATCTTTTTTTTAATTCCATATGAAGATTTCAGGTCAACTGTTAACATGGGATGTGATTTAATACGGTCTGGTGTTAACAGATGCATTTAATCGGAACAGCTGTGTGACATGCTCAAAAGTGATGAATACCTCATGAGTGGAGAAACGTACGTCTGCATGCTTTTACATCAAGTAATCAGACTAAATTGTTTAAATGGCACAAGTTTTCTTTTGACTAGTTTATGAAAAGGTTTGAAGTACCCCTCTGCAACCAATTGAAATTTCAATTGGTTTCATTCATGGTGTTTATATGAAGCATTCTTGTTCTTATTGATGCTTTTAAACCGATTCAAATCTGAATATTAGGCTTAGGGGTGGGCGATCTTACTTTGGCATATGATCCACTTTTCAGATGAATCGTACAGATCGTGTCATTAAAAGGTGGTATATTTTGATTTTTACTTAGTAGTTAAACAGCTAGCTAGCTAACTGCAGCTAGCAACAGCAGCCCTTCTTCTG